CCCAAATCAATTTAGGTATGTGCATTATGTCCCAATCGACATCATTTAGACAATGTTGATCATGCGAGACGTAAGCTTTGTCCCTGCCTGAGACACAATGTCCCAGCATAAAGACCTAAAACACTGATAAACATTCTCCACACTCAGAATAGAAGCCGTGTCTCCAGGGTCTATTGTGGATTTTCTTTTCAGTCTCCAGTCTTTAGAAACATTGCATAAATCTCCTATGATTTACCTTTTCAAACTGTTGCAGTTTTGGAGGGTTTAAAAGAGGGAAGGGGGTGGGGAGGTGTGCTTCATAATATTGGCAATTTTTTTCTACTTTTGTTATTCAGCGCTTTTTTATAAAGGGGTATTTCGTCGTGTACCAACTTCCCTGATTATCAACAGTTACCTGGGTGTTAGATCTATATTCTTTTAGTTGTTAATTTTTCTCCGTGGGAGGTTAGCGGGTGAATTGGTGTGATCTAATCTTTCTTTCCTATCAAACATCTGCTATCATTCTTATCTCCCTTGCCTTTTAAATTTTGTTTGTTATTTTCTTGTAGCACCTCTAATCTTCGGAACATAATACGATCCAAGTCTGTTGCAAAAAGCCGCAAAATGCTGTAAGCAAAAAGTAAATAGATGAATAAATAAATCAAACAGAAGTAAAACTAAAGTTCCTCCCGAGGATATTCACCCCTTACTGTTGACACAACCGCGCCACCTGCAGAAGATTACAGCAAATACCACGAGGCTTTTTCTTTTCTTGTTAGTCAACCTTTTTATTTCCACGCTTGTCTGAGTGTTGCGTTCTTTTTCTTTCATTTTGGTTCCATTTTCCATTCTGTTAAAGGCCATTTCCTCGTAAGCCCCCCTACTGTTCTCACCATTGTGTGTAATGAGTATTGGCAGGTTGAAGATCTGGCTCCAACAGACGCCGGAGCTCCATGTCAGTTCCGGCTGATGACATTAGTTCACTTGAGCGACCTCCTCCACGCCACACAGCTCCACGCCTCTCTTTCTGTTTCTCTGCCCCCTCTCTCTCTCGCAATATCTCTCTCCGTCTCTCTGTCTC